TTGGATTTTCCTGGAACTTAACCCCATACCCTAAACGCCTCTACGACGAGTCTGAGGCCTAAAACACGCGTCGATTTTGCATGCTCGCTCGGGGAGGGTGCTTCTAACATTTTTGGGTGCTCGCTGGCGCGCGTGTGCTGCTCTGAGCGCGCATGAGAGCGAGCCATACAATCGAGCGAGCACGCAGTTGTGTAGGAAGCACGCAACTCGAGCGAGCATGGCTAGCGAAATCCTTGAAAAAAAGGAACTACAATGGGGACTATAGGTAAACCTAAAACCCGGAGTCCCTAAACCCTAAGCCCTAAACCCTAAACCCTAAACCCCAAACCCCAAACCCTAAACCCTAAACCCCAAACCCTAAACCGTACATCTTTCGGACCTTGCCATTTGTACATGCACGGACGAGCCTGGGCCTGCAGGGTTTAGGGTTTAGGGTTTAGGGTCTAGGGTCCTAATATTATATTTAAAGCATACCTATACCGAAATGGGGACTACAGCTAACATGATTACAAAGTATACCTATACAGGCATTAGACGGGAAATGCTTACTAAAATGATTCAGACCTTTTCTGCTACGGCTTGTCTTATGGGATCCCTAAAGGAGGCGGCGGGGTTTCAAGGCGGGCAGATACTCCAATAATCCCTTATTCTCCCCAGCGCTCCGTTCCCTAGTAGTACGCTCCCCCCTCCCCGAAGCATCCCATACTTGCCGCAGTTCAACTGCTTTCCTCCCTCCAGCCGGAGCCATCGAGTCCCACACCCTAAACCCAACAACATCTGCACCCTAAGGCCAAATACACCAAAACCAAACCTAACAACACCTAAACCTCAAAAACCTACCACCTGAAAAAAGCTACGCAGCATGTCGGAACATACTTGGCAGTAACCTCAGTAAACCCTGAAGCCCCGAGCTGTTGATGATAGAAATCCTGCATTACCTTCAGAACCAAAAATTATGGGAATTCTGGTATGTTCCTTGTTATGGGTACTGCAGGACACATATCATCTAGCGTATTGAAAAGCACAACCCTCCAACAGGCTTGTTGAGCGCCCGAAACACCTCGAGCTCCCACTCCGCAACACCCGAGAGACTCTAATCTCCGACACCCTGCAACTGATTAAGTAGGTAAGTATACTCCTATATACTTCCTGACGTAATCTAGGGGCCTTAATAATTAGTATAGGGTTTAGGGCTTTGGGGTACGTTATACTGTCAGTATAATAAGGAACCTCCAAAAAAGT